AGCAGTCAAGAAACAATAGTGCAACCTTGGGGCAGGGTCCTTGTTCCTCCTCAAGGAATATACATAACCATACCTATGAGTTCTTATGCAGGAACTAAGGTCTCCACCCAGGTGGAGGATGGTAACTTCAGACTGAGCACAAGATTCCTAGAACACCACCCTGAAAGTCTGCACACAGTGGAAGATAGCAAAAACTCTGACCCCCTCCCCAAATGATTCTCCCTTTAAAAATGTTTATGGTTGTTTTTTCTTTTATAAGTGTATTTATTTATTTATTTATTTTTGGCTGCATTGGGTCTTCCTTGCTGCACGCAGGCTTTCTCTAGTTGCAGCGAGCAGGGGCTACTCTTCGTTGTGGTGCACAGTCTTCTCGTTGCAGTGGCTTCTATTGTTGCGGAGCACGGGCTCTAGGCACGTGGGCTTCAGTGGTTGTGGCATGCAGGCTCAGTAGTTGTGGCTCATGAACTCTAGAGTGCAAGCTCACTCTAGATGTGAGTAGTTGTGGTGCACGGGCTTAGTTGATCTGCGGCATGTGGGATCTATCTGGACCAGGGCTCGAACCCGGGTCCTCTGCATTGGCAGGCAGATTCTTAACCACTGTGCCACCAGGGAAGTCCCCCAGCATCGCTTTTGATGGGGAAAATTACTCCTTTCTGGCTAGGGCTCATCCTGCAACTCCCCAACATGGCTCTGATACTGCGCTTTCCTAGCTTCTGCCAAATTGCAGGGAGAAGAAAGGCAATTTGTCCTTTGGACACTGAAGAAAGTTTGCTTGGGTTCTAAAGACTGGAGGAGCTAGCTCTGGATTTGGGAGTTCTTGGTGGACCCCACAATAGCAAAGGAAGACCCAAGGTGTGAAGCTCTAGGCAGGAAAGAGTGCTGTGCTAATGCCTGCAAGGGCTTGACCATCTTGTCTGGACTCCCCTTTAATCTCATGAACATGAGAAGGCAGGGATGTTACCAGCTTGTCCAAGGTCACCACATAAACTGGATTTAAAGCCAGTATCTCTTGGCTCCAAGACCCATATTGCCTCAAGATTAGAAGTGGCTTTGGGATGAAGGGTTAATGTGAACAGATGAAGTTTAGAAAAGTAAATGTTTGTGTTGGCCTCTTTGAGATCCTGCCCTAAAACGTGTATGCTCACACACATCCTTGTAATAGGATGTGCATTGTTTAGATTGTTTCTTCCTCCTGCTGGAATGTCTTATTTCCTACTTAAAAATCTAATGGTGTGGAAAAGCATGGTTTGACCTGGACAAAAGCCTTATGGGCACTAAAGCCATTTGGCCACTGAGGTCATGGTAAGTGTAGACCTGGCAGAAAATGACCAGAACTTAAGCTAATTTAAATTTTGATCTTTAAAAAGGCCAGCCTTGGGCTTCCCAGGTGGCGCAGTGGTTGAGAGTCCGCCTGCCGATGCAGGGGACACGGGTTCGTGCCCCGGTCCGGGAAGATCCCACATGCCGCGGAGCGGCTGGGCCCGTGAGCCATGGCCGCTGAGCCTGCGCGTCCGGAGCCTGTGCTCCGCAACGGGAGAGGCCACAATGGTGAGAGGCCTGCATACAGCAAAAAAAAAATAAAAAATAAAAAATAAAAAAAAATAAAAAGGCCAGCCTTGCAACTGCAAATCTGTTAAGTGACAATCTTACAGTGTGGTAGTGAAACCGAGTGCGGCCTGCGCACGGAGGCCTTCTTTTGTCCACCATTTCTTCTTCTTTTTAAAAAATATTTATTTATTTATTTGGCTGTGTCGGGTCTTAGTCGCGGCACGCAGGATCTTTTGTTGTGGCACAGGCTTCTGTAGTGGCAGCGTGTGGGCTCCTCTCTAGTTGTGGTGCGGGGGCTTAGATGCCCCACAGCATGTGGGATCTTATTTCCCCAACCAGGAATCAAACCCGAGTACCCTGCATTGGAAGGCAGGTTCTTAACCACTGGACCACCAGGGAAGTCCCTGTCCACCAGTTTTTAAAATTAATTTATTAATTTATTAATTGATTTTTGGCTGTGTTGGGTCTTCGTTGCTGCGCACAGGCTTTCTCTAGTTGCGGTGAGCGGGGGCTACTCTTCGTTGAGGTACGCGGGCTTCTCACTGCAGTGGCTTCTCTTGTGGAGCGTGAGTTCCAGGTGGGTGGGCTTCACTAGTTGCAGCATGCAGGTTCAGTAGTTGTGGCTCACAGGCTCTAGAGCACAGGCTCAGTAGTTGTGGCGCACGGGCTTAGTTGCTCTGCAGCATGTGGGATCTTCCCGGACCAGGGCTCGAACCCATGTCCCCTGCATTGGCAGGCGGATTCTTAACCACTGCACCACCAGGGAAGCCCTCTTGTTTGTTTTTGTTCCACATACAGAATAGGGTTTAAGGAAAGTCAGTGATAATAACTATTTTAAATTTGGCTTGGTCATTTTAATAATCGGATAAATATTTTAAGGGTTTAGCCTCAATATTTAAACATTGCTGAAAACAAGTAAAGACTGGATCATTTGCAATTCATGCTAAAAACTTGAGTTCTAGGTTAAAAAAACTTTAAAAAAATTTTATTGAAGGATAGTTGAGTTACAATGTTGTGTTGATTTCTGCTGTAAAGCAGTGATTGAGTTATACGTATGTATTCTTTTTCATTTTCTTTTCCATTATGGTTTATCACAGGTTATTGAATATAGTTCCCTGTGCTATACAGTAGGACCTTGTTGTTGATCCATCCTATATATAATAGTTGGCATCTGCTAATCCCAAACTCCCAATCCTTCCCTCCCCCACTCCACCCCTCTTGCCAGCCACAAGAGGGGTGTGAGTCTATGTCTGTGAGTCTGTTTCTGTTTCGTAGATATTTATATTTTAGATTCCACATATAAGTGATATCATATGGTATTTGTCTTTCTCTTTCTGACTTACTTCACTTAGTATGATAATCTCTAGGTCCATCCATGTTGCTGCAAATGGCATTATTTCATTCTAAAACATTTATACTATCATTGAGCTTAGAAATGGGTGGGACTGGGAATTCCTTGGCAGTCCAGTGGTTAGGACTCCGCGCTGTCACTGCCCAGGTTCAGTCCCTGTTCACAGAACCAGGATCCCGCAAGGCACGTGGCGAGGCCAAAAAAAGAGAAAAAATTTTTAAGAAGACAAAAGAAATGGGTGGGGCTAATGAGTTGCTGAAGGACCCCTACTCAGGGCTTGGCCACGATTTCTAGGCTGGAAATGGAAGTATGAGGCACCCGGCCCCGAGAAGCACAGCTAACCCCAAGTGGCAGTCGTGTCAGGAAAAACTGAATCTGTTAGGCAAACAAATTAAAACAGGGGTCAACTCTGGGACCAAGCTACCTACAATGAGGTACGTAAGTCTCTGCAATGAAGATTCCTAAAATTTTATTCTATGTAATAGGACAGTCCTTAAATAGGAGAACCATGCCCTGTGACTCATAGAATTGTCCAGGGTGATGAGCCAGCATATAGCTGTGGCTGCCTGATCATGTCACATCGTGTCCCCTGCTCTAAACGTTCCAGTGGCTCCCAGCTGACTCCATCTTGCTCTGGGTTGAAGCCCGATGGTCCTTACTGTCCCCTCGCATCTCATCTCTAGGTCCCCTCCTCCTCCTCCTCAATCTCCCTCATTCTGCTCCAGCCACCCCAGGCTCCTGGGTGTTCCTGAGACCATCTGGCGCGCGCTTCCTGGGATCCTTGTGACCTCTGTCTTACACTTCTTTCCCCCCAAATCTGCACAGCTTACAGCTCACTTCGTCATCTCCCTCAGCTCTGGCTGAAATGGCACTTGGCTTCCCTATTTCAAATAGCAACCCTGTGTCCTCAAGTCCATTCTCTACATCTGTGTCTTTATTCCTGTCCTGCCCGTAGCTGGGACGAAGTGAGAGAGTGGCACTGACATACATACACTACCAAATGTAAAATAGATAGCTAGTGGGAAGCAGCCGCACAGCACAGGGAGATCAGCTCGGTGCTTTGTGACCACCTAGAGGGGTGGGATAGGGAGGGTGGGAGGGAGACACAAGAGGGAGGAGATATGGGGATATATGTACATGTACAGCTGATTCACTTTGTTATACAGCAGAAACTAACACACCATTGTAAAGCAATTATACTCCAGTAAAGATGTTAAAAATAAATAAATAAATAAATAAAATAAAATAGCAACCCTTACCTCTAGTACATAATGGGTTGATAGCCACTTAATGAGAGCTGTCTATACCAAAATGCTGATCGTCTCAGTGTTCCATGTTTTAGTGTGTGACTCTTTTTTAAAGCTTATTAAAGATTTCTCAGTGTACAGTAGTATTTGCATGACTACAATGTTTTTTGAGGTGCTTTATTTCCTCTTTTTTCATTTTAATTTTTTTCTTGTTTTAATTTTTAAAATTAAATTTTTTTTTTTAATTATTAAGTTTTTGTTTGGCTGCACCACACAGCTTGCGGGATCTTAGTTCCCTGACCAGGGATCGAACCCAGGCTCTTGGCAGTAAAAATGCCGAGTCCTAACCACTGGACTGCCAGGGAATTCCCTGTTTGTTTTTCTTTTTTGTTAGAGGTGTTTTGTTTTGTTTTGTTTTGTTTCCCAGTGTTCAGAAACTGTTCAAATGCTGTCTTAATTGGAAGTGTAAATGTATAAAGCAGAAAAAGGCAGCTGTGACTGAGGCTGGATTGGGGCCTGAGCCCAGTCCCCTTGGCTTCCTCTTGTCAACCTCTGAGGGGATTCCCAGAACTGTCTCTGCCATGCCCAGCTTCAAATCCATCACCTAAGGCACAGCCAGCCAAATGAACTTTCCCTGAAAGCTGTTCAAGATTTTTAATCAGCCTCTGGAAGGAGATTTGCCAGGATAGCTGACCCTGTAGATCCAATTTTGTCAGGAAACGACCGCTGAAGTTGTAAAATCAACACTAGCCATCAAATGCAATGATTTTGAGGACAGCTGCCAAATTCTGAGCTTTTGCATCTCAAGGAAATGTTGAAATGTCTTCTTTTCTTTCCAAAAACTTATTTTTGAGATATTGACTTTGCCACGCGTAAGATAGCCAGGCTGCTGAAACCACAGAAAGTGATTGAGCAGAATGGGGATTCTTTTACCATCCACACGAACAGCAGCTTCAGGAACTACCTTGTGAAATTTAAAGTTGGAGAAGAATTTGATGAGGATAACAAAGGCCTGGATAACAGAAAATGCAAGGTAAAAATTAAAGTAATGACGTAGGCTTTTAGTTTTGCAAGGTTACCTTGGCACCCTCCCTAGTAATACCGGAGGATGTTGCTAGAGCAAACCAGTATTTTCTCCCATCCCTCAATGCAGAGCTTGGTCATCTGGGACAATGACAGACTCACCTGTGTGCAGAAGGGGCAAAAGAAGAACCGAGGCTGGACCCATTGGATTGAAGGGGACCAACTCCACCTGGTACTTGCCCTGTTTTGTTCTTTTATAAATTTTATTGAAGTATAGTTGATTTACAATGTGTTAATTTCTGCTGTACAGCAGTGACTCAGTTATATATATATATATATATATACATATACTTTTTTTTTTTTTTTCGGTACGCGAGCCTCTCACTGCTGTGGCCTCTCCCATTGTGGAGCACAGGCTCCGGACGCGCAGGCTCAGCGGCCATGGCTCACGGGCCCAGCCGCTCCACGGCATGTGGGATCTTCCTGGACCGGGGCACGAACCCGTGTCCTCTGCATCGGCAAGCGGACTCTCAACCACTGCGCCACCAGAGAAGCCCTATATTCTTTTTTATATTCTTTTCTATTATGGTTTATCCCAGGACATTGAGTATAATTCCCTGTGCCATACAGTAGGACCTTGTGGTCCATCCATTCTATATGTAATAGTTTGCACCTACTAACCCCAAACTCCCAGTCCATCCCTTCCCTCCCCCGCCCTTGGCAACCACAAGTCTGGTCTCTATGTCTGTGAGTCTGTTTGTGCTTCATAATTAGGTTCATTTGTGTCATATTTTAGATTCCACATGAGTGATATCATATGATATTTGTTTTTCTCTGTCTGACTTACTTCACGTAGTATGATAATCTCTAGTTGCATCCATGTTACTGCAAATGGCGTTATTTTATTCTTTTTTATGGCTGAGTAGTATTCCATTGTGTGTGTGTGTGTGTGTGTGTGTGTGTGTGTGTGTGTGTGTATCATATCTTCTTTATCCATTCATCTGTCATTGGACATTTAGATTGTTTCCTTATCTTGGCTATTATGAGTAATGCTGCTATGAACATAGGGGTGCATGTATCTTTTTGAATTATAGTTTTGTCTGGGTATATGCTCAGGAGTAGGATTGCTGGATCATATGGTAATTCTTTTTTTTTTTTGTATTTATTAATTTATTATTACTATTTTTATACAGCAGGTTCTTAGTATCTATTTTATACATATTAGTGTGTATACATGTCAATCCCAATCTCCCAAATCATTTCACCCCACCCCCACCCCTGCTTTCCCCCCTTGGTGTCCACACATTTGTTCTCTACATCTGTGTCTCTATTTCTGCCTTGCAAAACAGTTCAACTGTACCATTTTTCTAGATTCCACATATTTGCGTTAATATATATTTGTTTTTCTCTTTCTCACTTGCTTCACAGTCTCTAGGCCCATCCACGTCTCTACAAATGACCCAATATCGTTTCTTTTCATGGCTGAGTAATATTCCATTGCATATATGTACCACACCTTTTTTATCCATTCACCTGTCAATGGGCATTTACGTTGCTTCCATGACCTGGCTATTGTAAACAGTGCTGCAGTGAACATTGGGGTGCATGTATCTTTTTTTTTTTTTTGCAGTACGCGGACCTCTCACTGTCATGGCCTCTCCTGTTGCGGAGCACAGGCTCCGGACGCACAGGCTCAGCGGCCATGGCTCACGGGCCCAGCCGCTCCGCGGCATGTGGGATCTTCCCAGACCAGGGCACAAACCCGCGTCCCCTGCATCGGCAGGTGGACTCTCAAACACTGCGCCACCAGGGAAGCCCGCATGTGTCTTTTTGAATTACGGTTTTCTCTGGGTATATGCCCAGTGGTGGGATTGCTGAGTCATATGGTAATTCTATTTTTAGTTTTTTTAAGGAACCTGCATACTGTTCTCCATAGTGGCTGCACCAATTGACATTCCCACCAACAGTGTAGGAGGGTTCCCTTTTCTCCACACCCTCTCCAGCATATGTTATTTTTAGACTTTTTAATGCTGGTCATTCTGACTGGTGTGAGCTGGTACCTCACTGTAGTTTTGATTTGCATTTCTCTAATAATTAGCGATGTTGAGCATCTTTTCATGTGCCTATTGGCCATTTGTATGTCTTCTTTGGAAAAATGTATATTTAGGTCTTCTGCCCATTATTTTGATTGGGTTGTTTGTATTTTCTTGTTGAGTGTTCTTATTTTTGATGAGATTATTAAAGAAAATGCTAAACAGGAAACCATGACCAGCAATCCTACCATCCCAACTCACTGTTTTCAGTTTGATATCTTACCATCCAGTCTGTTAGAATATTCTTCCTTTTCATTCAATAGAAAAACATATTCCAGGTTTCTAAATAATTTCCCTGTTGAATTCATCATGTATAAATTGAATACATATAATAACATAGCAAACTGGCTGCATAATATTCCATCAGGTTCATGAACTCTCATATTAGTAAAACATTTTCTTAATTTCAATGTCCAGTAATATTTCAGGGTGTTTTCAGCTATTTCTTTTTTTTTTTTTTTCGGTATGTAGGCCTCTAACTGTTGTGGCCTCTCCCGTTACGGAGCACAGGCTCCGGACGCACAGGCTCAGCGGCCATGGCTCACGGGCCCAGCCGCTCCACGGCATGTGGGATCTTCCCGGACCGGGGCATGAACCCACGTCCCCTGCATCGGTAGGCGGACTCAACTACTGCGCCACCAGGGAAGCCCTCAGCTATTTCTTAAATTCACATAAACAGAATTTTTTGCATGCATGGATTTATTCCCTTGGGAAGAATTCACAGAGAGGATCAGTGTTGTCAGAGACATCATTGCCTCCTGCTACTTTGTTGCCTTACTAGCTTCCAAAAGGGTATATCAATTTCTTATGCCACCAGCACTTAAAAACCATACAAATTATAGCTCAACCTAATCAATAATTTCTAAATATAATCTAGAGAGTATAAAATTGTACATAAAGGCTTAATTATGGCTTTTAAAATTAGAATTTCTTCCTGCCATACAGGTATGTTACAATGGCTTACTTTTTTTTTTTTAATTAATTTATTTGTGGCTGCATTGGGTCTTCGTTGCTGCTCACGGGCTTTCTCTAGTTGCAGTAAGCAACTACGCTTTGTTGTGGTGTGCAGGCTTCTTGTTGCGGTGGCTTTTCTTGTTGTGGAGCACAGGCTCTAGGCGCACAGGCTTCAGTAGCTGTGGCACGTGGGCTCAGCAGTTGTGGCTCCCGGGCTCTAGAGCACAGGCTCAGTATTTGTGGCGAACGGACTTAGTTGCTCCGTGGCATGTGGGATCTTCCCAGACCAGGGCTCGAACCCACGTCCCCTGCATTGGCAGGCGGTTTCTTAACCACTGCACCACCAGGGAAGCCCTGGCTTACATTTTTTGAGTGATGATTTTGTGTGTGATTACTTAGCTAAATCCTTTGAGTGCATTTCTCACTTAGTCTTTAAGACAGTCCGTGAAAGGGACACTATTTTTCCCATTTACAAATGAAGAGACTGAGATTTAGAAATTCCCCAAGGTTGCAGAGTAGAGATTCAAATCTAAGTCTGACAAGAATGTGTGCTTCCAACTCTATGTTTTTTTTAAGTCTCAACATACATGTGAAATCAAGGTGAGATCCATGAAAACAAAATGAGAGCACTCATCTTAAAGTTGGATATGGGTGGTATTTGAGAGTCTGGGGACTCTTTGATTACAAAGACATTGAAGATATTTTGATTCTTAGAATGACAAATCTCACACTCTTCTGGCAATAAAAACAAAGTTAAGAAACTTGCCATGACAAAAATGTAACATGAAACTACAAAGAAAACACAAATTTATTTGAGGATTCAGATTAGTTGGCTGTAAGAAGTAATGTTCAAACTGCACACATCCTTCTTTGGCATAGCCAAGAACTCTGCCGAAGCAGAGGATAGAAGGACACTTGCTCTAAGGATACTTTTGGGATGATTCTTACAAGCTGTGATACAATAAAAATAAATATTTGGGGCTTCCCTGGTGGCGCAGTGGTTGAGAGTCCGCCTGCCGATGCAGGGGACATGGGTTCGTGCCCTGGTCTGGGAAGATCCCACATGCCGCGGAGCAGCTAGGCCCGTGAGCCATGGCCGCTGAGCCTGCGCTTCCGGAGCCTGTGCTCCACAACGGCTGCGACAGTGACAGGCCCATGTACCGCAAAAATAAATAAATAAATAAATAAAAATAAAAATAAATAAATATTTGAACAATCCCATTCACCATTGCAACAAAAAGAATAAAATATCTAGGAATAAACCTACCTAAGGAGGTAAAAGACCTGTACTCAGAAAACTATAAGACACTGATGATGACACAAACAGATGGAGAGATATACCATGTTCTTGGAACGGAAGAGTCAATATTGTGCAAATGACTATACTACCCAAAGCAATCTACAGATTCAATGTAATCCCTATCAAATTACCAGTGGCATTTTTTACAGAACTAGAACAAAAACTCTTAAAATTTGTATGGAGACACAAAAGACCCCGAATAGCCAAAGTGGTCTTGAGGGAAAAAAATGGAGCTGGAGGAATCAGACTCCCTGACTTCAGACTATACCACAAAGCTACAGTAATCAAGACAATATGGTACTGGCGCAAAAACAGAAATATAGATATATGGAACAGGATAGAAAGCCCAGAGATAAACCCACACACCTATGGTCAACTAATCTATGAAAAAGTAGGCAAAGATATACAATGGAGAAAAGACAGTCTCTTCAGTAAGTGGTGTTGGGAAAACTGTACAGCTACATGTAAAATAATGAAATTAGAACACTCCCTAACACCATACACAAAAATGAACTCAAAATAGATTAGAGACCTAAATGTAAGACCAGACACTATAAAACTCTTAGTAGAAGACATAGGAAGAACACTCTTTGACATAAATCACAACAATATCTTTTTTGATACACCTCCTAGAGTAATGGAAATAAAACCAAAATTAACAAATGGGACCTAATGAAACTTCAAAGCTTTTGCAAAGCAAAGGAAACTACAAACAAGGCGAAAAGACAACCCTCAGAATGGGAGAAAATATTTGCAAATGAATCAACGGACAAAGGGTTAATCTCCAAAATATATAAACAGCTCATGCAGCTCAGTATTAAATAACCAAACAACCCAATCAGAAAATGGGCAGAAGACCTAAATAGACATTTCTCCCAAGAAGAC